GCTATTGATTTATCAACGGCATACATTTCAGCCCGGTCGCATGGCTCAACAGCCATGCAGACGTTCATGTTCCAGCTTTTGTATGTCACGTTGGGGGTTCTGAGCACACAGTAGTCGCTGCTCCTGTCGCAGGTGATCCAGGCATTGGCCGGTGCTGTTCCAGAAGCAGGCCACCTGGCCCCGGGCAGACCGGCTTCCCTTCCTTGTCTCGTAACGACGCTTTTTGTGGTCCTTTCCACAGGTACAGGTGGCAATGAGCTTGTTCCACAGCCTCCGACCGCACCCAAGCCGACGAAAAAGCGGCCACAAAGTGGAGTCTCACAACGTGTTGCTCGACTTCCCGTTGACAGACGACTTGCACCCTGACAAAGTATTGGTTTGTGAGCTTCTTCTCCACTAAGCGCAGGTACGGCAGTGCTGAGTCGCTGAGGTGTTCGTTGCACAAAGAGAAGGTACTTGCACATTATTTGTGGAGCTCAGTTGCTTGGAATGAAGCTATGAATGCATACCGGATAGCTGTTGACGTCCCCGTCTTGTGGAATCATCCTGTCACACACACACCGTGTGCAGGCTGGGAGCATCAGGAAGAGCTCTTGGCACAGGGAATGTTCCCCACACCTGCCGTGGAGGCTCAGAGAGTGGAGGTCAGAGTGAGGTGGAGCTGGTGAATCTTGCCAGGCCTCGGTTGGGAGGATCGGACCTTTGCAGATCACCGTGCAGAAGAACGCTCCACCATTGCCCGAGATGCAGAAGTCGAAAGGTGTGCTCTGGTGGACTGGAAGCAAGCCTGGACCTCAGCCGCTGTTGCACTTGCTACGCTGCTACGCGGTTCGGGTTTGTGACGGAGCTGAGGTGGGCAGCCAAACAGATGAAGTCCAAGCCTCAGCCGGAGTCTCGGGCCAAGACGCCTGGTGATTCGCCAAGTCCATCGAGCTGGGCCCGGGCGCCGCCGAAGAGGTCTTGATAGGCAGTTGCAGCAACTTCTTCACCTGCGTCATGCTATCAACTCCTGCTTTCAATTTCCACTGCGTTCTCGTAGAGTATTCCACCAGATGGTTGCTTTGCTTGACGTGTGAGTCGCCGCCGCAATCGTTGTGGAGCAACGAGAAGACGGCCGCATTGCTTTAGTGACTACAGTAGATCTGCAAGGATCACCCTTGCTGCGCAAAATACTTGTGCAGAGGGACTCGTTTCGCTGCTTTTCAAAGCACTACCAGGAAGTTGCCTGCTTTCAGACCAACCATTGTGCTGCCTCTTTCACTCTCTTGCAATTGTCTCCGTTCACCAGATTATGAGAATAGGTCATGAGTAGAGCGGGGCAACGCACAGTGAGCGCACGGCAACCTCCGGCCGGCCCGGGCTTCGCCGCGCTGCGGGCCAACGGCCCTGCGGCCCTGCTCAGTTCCATGCTTTCGTTTCACCGCGAATTTTTGCAGAAAGACGAGTGCGACAAACTCTCAACATCGAAGCATCTACTTCCAGTATCTCGCGCTGTTTGCCCGTTGTTTGCTGCCCCCGGTGCTCCCGAACGCCAGTTCTAATCAACTTCAGACGCACTACTCATCCGCAGATTGCGTGTTGGCCTGCAAGATCATGGAAGGCTTGGGATTTGCTTGACAGGGCTCGTCGGAATTTGAAGCCCTACGTAGGCGCCGATCTGCTAGTCGAACTGCCATAAGCGGCTGTGGCCAGACTTCAGTGTCGCATGTTCGCAGCTTTAAGTTTAGTGTCAGATTTAGTCATCATGCAAGATCTCGGCAATGGCATCTCGAATGCAGGGCTTGTTGTTGGCACATGTTGCCCTTCCCCACCTTCCCACGTCCACCTAGAGGTGCATGACGGAGAAGAACTGGCTTGCCTGAAGTATTTGGTTCAGACCCATCGTATTCCGAGCACTTCGCTGGACTGGCGCTCCTAGAAGTGGCCATGTGCGATCCATGGAGTCCAAGACACGGCCATGGTGGCGGGTGGCGGCGGGTCCCGCATTGGCCTTCTAGGAGCGCTGCTACAAAGTGACTTCAGGGAATCGTGGCAGGCCGTGGCCGGCGAGGGCGAGGAAGGGAATGGCCTATGCTGGTTCAACAGTCGCTCGTCTGAAACCAAGGCTGAGGCGGAGAAAGGCACAGCAGTTGCAGTTTCGCTTCCCACGAAAAGTTCTGAGGTGACAGGACCTACCTTCGCTGCTGCATCGGTGAAGATCCTGACTGCTGGCAGGGAATTTGGATAACCAGGGAGCTTTGCTGCTTTTCTTTGACAGAGCAATCGCAGAGATGTTTCGACTCGATTGAGGAGAAAGTCGAGGCCAAGATAAAGACTCTGCGAGATTTCCAAGCTCAGGCCGAGTATGCAGAACTCGATGATCAGGTCCAGGCCTTGCGCGTGCACATGCTACCATACCAAGCAATGCTGGCCCAGCCGATGGGCATGTGGTCATTTGCTTGTAGTGTTCCGGACTCTCCCCTTTTGTGGAGCCCTTTCTGCGACTGCTGCGATCCTGCTGAAAGCCAGTGCGAGGAAGAAGCCCGCCCAAATGAAGACGACCTCCGGTTGCAACATGCTAGATGCTGCTTCCCTGTCTATGCACGGAAGACCTTGAGTTTGACAGCTGAAGTTGAGCGAATTATTGATGGAGACTTGCAGTCACTGCGACCGCAGCCAGAAATCGTTCGAACACATGGACCACAGCTTTTCTGGAATATGGGTGGCACTCAACTAGCCAGAGGTTGTGTGATTTCGGTCCATCAGAATGCAACAGTCTCATCATGTGCCGAGAACCATGCTTGTCGCGATTTTGACTGCTCGTATCTTCGTGCAGTTCTGATGGCGTTGCAGGTCATACAAGCCATCAATCCACTTCCTGTCTTGGCTTTCGTCTTGAATGCCGGTGATGAGACCGTTGAAAACACCCTACCAGAGGCCCCAGTCTTCACTCGCACTGGAACTCGCTGGACGAATACCTTAGCACTACCTTTTGAGTGGCAGTTGCACCCGGGACAATGTGTTCGAAAGCTGAAGGAGGGGATGCTGGCTTTGGAACGGAGCAGATGGGAGGATCGTGAACCTGTCTTAATCTGGAGGGGCACTCACTCAAATTTGTGGGCTCCGGACTGCAAGGCTGCGCACGCAGCAATAGATGATGCTATGATGGAGAGGTGTGTGGTTTTGGCGCCCGGCAAACTGCGGGAGGGAGTCTGGAATTTCAGCACGTGGCTCCAGCTGCCGCGTGGGCGCTTGGTTTGGCTTAGCAGGTTCGTACCTTTCATCGACGCAAAGTTTGTGGAGAGCACAACGCTGCCGCCGATGGCTCTCGACCTTGAGCGCTTCTTGAAGGATGAAGGGCTCTTTGCTCCAAGGCTTTCTGCTTTGGAGTTTGAGCAATATAAGTATCAGATTGCTTTGGAAGGAAACAGCGCAACTGACCGCTTGGCATGGCAGCTTTTCATGGGCTCTGTTGTCCTCATCCCAGATCAGCCGTGGCAAGTGATGTCGCCTTTGAGAATGTTGCAGCCATGGGTCCACTTCGTCCCCGTGTCGTGACGCAGCTGAGGTTGGATGTGGCTGCATGTCAGGTCCTGTCAGGATGTCGTGAAGAACTTGCATCTGTGATATGTCAACCGAGTAGGGCATGCTAGGATGGGCTTCATGCTCGACCGTATCAGCGAAACAACGAGATACCTCGTCAATGCGTGGCATCGTGCAAGACGACACGAAAATCAAACCAACTTGCACACGTGGTGCAAAGGTAAAAGGAGCCTTTTCAATGGACGTGCAAGGCACCGTCCGTAAGTTTCAGCCAACTCGCTTCGCACGAACTTTTCTCACTAGACATTCACGGAGACAGTCGGCACAGTTGTGGCTTTCAAGCGCTCGAACAACGTCAAGTGGGCTTAGGTGTTTCGAGTTGGGGCCGTTACCACCCTCGGCATGTGCTTGCAGCTCTTGGTTCAATTGAGGTACGATCTCAGCGATTTGGTTGATCGGCTTCAGTGGCTAATCTCGCACGATGCCGAAGCGAAGGCCATTGCCCAGAATGGTGTTGCCTTTGCTCATCGTGGCCTGGCCGATAGTATTGCAGGGCAGGGACTCTCCCACCGTCGCAGCAGGGGTCATTTCGGTCAAGGTTTTCCTTCTAGTGGGCACTGCTTCAACAGCAGTGCATGAGGTCAGCACGAGGTCACGAGGTCTGAAACTCGTGGCTTGCTTCCACCGGGCACGGTGTTGGATCTTCCAGAAATCAACAAGATCGCAGTGGGGCTTCCAAAGACATCTTACAGCATGTGCCCAGGTCACTTGACATGCTCCTTGGCTACAGTTCCGCTGCGTGGGCAGACCAACATTCCCACGATGCGTCACTGAATGGCGTGTCACCAGCGGGCAACTATAGCGAAGCACGAAGCGAGATGTCCAACGACCGCATGTTTCAGCACGAACATGTATCTACCAAAGTTTCAGTTGTTTTTTTCGCAGTGCTGCTACTGTCGGAAGGCAGAGTGACATCTGTAGCTTGTTTAAGTCCCCCAGATCCGTTTTTTGCAAGGTCAGGGTTCTTCAGGTCTGAGACATTCCTTAAGATGTGTCTGCATGCTGCTCACCGCCAACAGGTGACGACTACATCCATTACATCGACCGTTTGCTGCGGGCGCTCCTAGACTCACCAAACGTAATTAGAGCTGAAACCGAACAACCCGGGAGATACGGTGAGAGGACTGGACAGCTCAGGAAGGTTTAGCAGGAGCACAAGGCAGGGAATGACGCCAGTGTGGACATGAGGTAATCAGTGAACCGAGTTTGTGGTTATCGGCATCTTAGGTCTTAGGCAGCTTGGTTTTTGGTTTTTTTGAGATATTATATGTCTTCGAGGAGGTATCGGGATTGCCGGATCTGAGGTATGCTAAGAAGCTTCACAGCGGCGCCGCTTGACTCCCATTCGTGGCTTGAAGGGGCTCTCTTTGATGTAAAGACGCCCGTGCTGCTCGCGCTTCGCGATGTGCATCCTGAATGGTTTCGTCAAGGCAGCTCCTTTCGATCTCAGCCTCTATGGGCTCAAGCTTGTGAAACGCGGTGTTGCGCTGCCATCCGACGGCTGAGCCGACCATGACAAAGGCTTTTGATCGATGCTCACGCTGCACATGCGAGCCATCACAGCATGTTCACTTGATTTACTTCCCATCTCAACTGCTCTACACCTCGTTCAAGCATGCGCCGAACTGTCGCCAACAGGCGGTGTACTACAAGCTGTGGGCATCCACCGCGGCCTGGACCCAGAGAAGCAACTATGGCTGGTACCAGGCGGCCTTCACATTGCTGGAAGAAAGAGCTTGCATACATCGGACATGTAAGCATGCTTAATTGCATGCAATGGATCCCGTGGCTATGCTGTGATCCCGCAATGTCGGTTGAACCTTCAGGTGTGGTCGCGCATGGCCCCGTGGGGGGTCTTTGTCTGAGCCCAAGCGTCAGCAGTGCCAGGCTTCGTGCGAGCACATCAATCACACAACATGGGCCGTGACTTACTGAGGTGGCTGCTCCGACGGCTGCTTGGTACAGCTTCGGCCTGCAGCTCAGCAGGGCACAGAAGTCTCGGCAGTACCCTAGACAACATGGCCTCTGCATCGCGTGCAGTTTCTGTGGAGTTTGGCCTTGAAGGCTGGTGGAGCGACGAGTGGAAAAAGGTCTTGACACTGGGCATCTATGAGCCAGGAGCTCGTCGTGTTCGGATCTGCGCATGGACATCGGATATGAGAGGCATTCGAAGGATGTGCGCTGCTGCCTGTTGTGCGTCTCAATGCGGCTCAGGCCCCCTGCCATTCACTGGGACTATTGTCAAGTGCTGCCCTGAGTTGCAGATACTGCATTCAGATTCAAGATGGCAGAGGACTGCATCACATGTGCTTACCACCTACACTTGCTAGAACAATCGCTCCGATTTCGTGAAGTACCATGCGCAGCCGAAGCCTCAGAGTGCACCATTGTGAGTGTCATAAGTCATAAGCCCTCAGATATAGTGCTACTCGTTCCGTTGCAAGAAGGGAGCTCTTCACTACAGCGAGCGTGCCGAATGCGCCGGCAGTCAGTACAATAATCAGGTACCCGGGCATCCCCTACAAGTGAGGGTGACGAAGCAGAACAGCGGACCGTTCTGGAACTGACTTTCATGATCTGAGACAAGTGTGAGAATGCGTAGATAAGCAGAGCGCGGGTTTCCCGGGCACTTGCAGAAAAAGCGCGCTGTGACAGAGTAGCATCTGCGGTGTTGGCAGTCGCTGAGAAACTGACCGTGGCCGACATACTCGTGGCGTAGGCACGAATCATGCTCGTGCATGGAAGGATGTTTATAGAACCAAAGCCAGTGGCTCGAAGCCCAAAAGCGAGCACCGACGCGATGACGAAGGCTTTCAAATTCAATCCCTCTGAGCTCAGCTCTGTTCGTTTGCTCCCGTGTTGAGCCGCAGGCGGTGTACTACAAGCTCTGGGCATCCACCGCTGCATGGACACAGCGCAGCAACTATGGCTGGTATCAGGCAGACCAAGCCCACTTGTCTCAAGGAGTCAAGGAGTGGTCCTGGACAGGTCTGGTCTCGCATGGCCCCTTGGGGCGTCTTTGCCAAAGCCTGAGTGATGACAGCGGCTGCAACAGGCGGTGCCTCTGAACTGCAGCACGTGCCAACCAAGGCCCCAAATTTCTCGAAATCGCGCAACACAGTGTTGGAAGGTTCTTCTAGAAGATGTTTTCTGGTGGTCTTCCTTCGTCTCTCGGACATTGAAACAGTAGATGGGGCAAACAAAATTGACATGTGGATAGGGTTGCTGGGTGTGAACCCTTCAGACATTGGTGTTTTGTTCGAGGTCGCAGCCCCGACAGCTGCCTGGTACAGCTTTGGTGGGGCTCCAAGTCCGGTGCCATTCCACGGAGATTCCGGTAGGAAGTGCGCGACCTCGCATTGTCCTGTAAAGCTTCCGACAGGATGGTGGAGTGATGAATGGAAAAAGGTCCTGACACTGGGCATCTATGAGCCAGGAGCTCGTCGTGTTCGGATCTGCGCATGGACATCGGATATGAGAGGCAGTCGAAGGATGTGCGCTGCTGCCTGTTGTGCGTCTCAATGTGGCTCAGGCCCCCTGCCATTCACTGGGACTATTGTCAAGTGCTGCCCTGAGTTGCAGATACTGCATTCAGATTCAAGATGGCAGAGGACTGCATCACATGTGCTTACCACCTACACTTGCTAGAACAATCGCTCCGATTTCGTGAAGTACCACGCGCAGCGGCTGCCTTACCGTCCGGCCTGGCATATGATTGCATTTGCTCGTGCATCTGTTTCAGGTACCCCGGCATCCCATACAAGTGAATGCTTTGGAGACCGTTTCTCCCTAGGTCTTTTGAAGCCTAGTGGTTTGGTTGTGAGGGTGGAAAAAGTGTCAATCGAAAGACAGTGGGCACAGAGAGTTTGCACAAGTGGTTAATTTAATGAACCAGTCGTCCGCGCGAAGTGCTCCTTGACATGAGTCTTCTGACAGGGACATTTCTGCTGGGGCTTTAAATGGCTCGAGAGGGGCCGTAGGCTCCTTCAGAGGAGGTGGCTGCCACAGGCTTTTGAGGCACGCCTTTTTTTTTGCTGGTCTGTTCCCGCAGGCATTGCTGTCCATCTTTCTGAACCGCGGATAGTGCGATGTTCCGTCTGCAGACGTGGCCGCATCAAGTCTAGACGTCTTGTCGTTTACAGCCGACAGTGCAGGCCTGCTCTTCGCCATCTCCTCCACTGCCTGTGTTGCCAGGCACGATCAGATTTGTTAAGTCGCGCTTGGACAATCTAACCGGTTCTAGCCACTTGCACCAGGCTCCGACACAATGTGGCTCGTGCGACTTCTGCTTGTGCGCCCGGCCTTGCTGCGCTGTTGGCACGGGCTCAGGCTTGAAACCGTAAAGCCCGGCAGGTTGCACTGCTCTCCTCGACGGAGGGAGCTCTCCTGAAAGGACTGGCTAACCGGGTAGCTGCTGCTGCTAATGGCGATCCAAGGCTACCCACGACTGACGGGGCTCATTGCAGGAAGATTGCGCAGCAAAGCGCGCAGATCGGCAGCCAGGGTGGGACACCACCATGAGGATTGGCAGCTGCAAACTTTGCTGCATCTTGTTCAAACTTTTCGGCGTTATCCAGGCACTGCTCTTCAACAAGCATGCAGTCAAGCCGCTTCCTTGGACAGCTCCAGCCAACGTGTGCATCTGCATCTTCATCTTTCGTGTGCTTACGCGTGCAGCGCGTGCGGGTCTTTGCTTTTCTTGCCTTTGTGTTTCTCTTTGTCTCTGTCGGTGTGTGTGTGTGTACAGCGAGACCTGGGTGTAAGTGTCCGTAGAAACCGAGCTTAAACGATCTATGCGTTTTCGCATGTGTTCCGGCTCTAGACTGCAGCTCTAGCGGACAACGTTGCAGGTACACCATCAAAACGGTACGTACAATCTTGCATAGTTGGGTCAATCTTTCTCCGTGGGTGCTCCCCTGCAGGCGTGTTTCGCGCAACAGCCGCGAGCAGCTCAAAGCAAAACGCGCAGAGGGTCAATCCGAGTCCCAGGTCCAAGCGTGCACGCAGAGACATGGGCGAGATGTCCACCGAGGCTTTGGAGGGACATCGTAGGGATTCTGGCAGCGACATTTGCGAGAGTGGCAGCTACTGCAGTTCTGGCATAGTTATCAGTGGTGAAACTTGCCTGCGCCTTCCCGTGTGCCAGCACCTTCCCGTGTAGAGTGTGGGGAAGACTGTTGTGCCAAGACTCCGGCGCTTTCTCAAGCGATGAGAAGAAGATACTTTAGCGTGTTGCTGCAGCATTGCATGGCCTTTTGCAGATCGTCCACAAGACGGCTTACTGGGGCTCCATTCGAGTCGGCACACCAGCGCAGGAGTTCAAGGCCAAGAAGGTTATTATTTGCAGCACCTGTTTCACTGGCGGTTACCTAGCTGTGAATAGCCACGGTACTTCTCACAACTGCCAGTTTCCCAGTCAAGTCAACATTTAGTTATATCTTGCATATCGTAAGGTGTGCTACAGTCTAGAGCTGCACCCACCGGCTTGGCAGTGGACTCCTCACAGGTGATTTTCGACACCGGAAGCGGGAATCTGATCCTGCCCACCGCGAAGTGCACTTCGGACGGGTGCCTGCTTTATGAATATTTTTCTCAGCTTTTTCCGTGGCCTTGGACGGAGTTCGTTTTTGTCGAGGCTTTTCATCATGTACCCTGCATCACCATGGTCCCCTGTCGACAGCCGAACGCTGCCAACTGCCGGAAGCCAGGTGCGCGCGGCACAAGAAGTACGTCCCGGAGCAGTCTTCGACCTCCAAGGAGGCTTGGCTTCGCCTTGGAAGATTTGAACCTCAACTGCCACTGGCTGGAGTGGTTCTTCTCACTTCGACTGCAACCTGCAGGTGACAAACGAGAATGGTGAGGGATCGACAGAGATCACCTTCGGCACCGGCTCCATCACAGGCTTTTCAAAATGGGCAGAGCAGTGACGTTTGCTGTTGCACAAAATCTCTGACTCCGGAAAAGTGGTTTCTGTTGGTGCATGCGCCAGTGAAGCCTTCTCCCTTCCATTCACCCCTGCGCTTGGACTGCTCTACCCGCCAGTTGTTTCTCACGACCCGGTGCAGGTGACTTTTACGAGGATCGCTTCTGCATCGCAGAGTCCTTGTGCTCACAGGCTGGGTGTGTTCAGGGAATCCTGCAGCGTGAACTATCTAGCTTGCCCTAGCCAATCTGAGTGTGCTGACTCCCAGCTTTGTAAGCCTTTGTTGGCATCATATGTTCAGGCTTGTGTATAGTGATGTCACGGAGAATCCTGAATTGCCAAACTTGCTGGTCTCAACAGAGGTGCGCTTCATCGGCTCGGTCGAGCAGAGTGCCCGTGTCTTAGGTTTGGCTCATTGTTGCGTATGTTCCAGCACGTCTATGTGTGGGCATGTAGTTTTGGCATGACATAACTGGTTGAGAATAGGCCCTGCAGTGTAAATCAAAACTGAGGCCGCCCCTTTTTCCTCCACCCCCTTCGATGGCATCTTGGGCCTTGGCTTCAAGGCTTCAGCCAGACTGGTGGGACATGGCCCGACAAATCTACACTTTCACAGGATCTGTCAATGGGGCTGAACTTCAACATTTTGGACGACATGTATCAGCCAAACTCCCAGGCTCTGCCTCTAGTTTTGCACTGCACAGGGTTTGAGCTGCTGCACCAAGGACAGGCTCCCTACCTGCCGGGCAATTCTCGGTGTTCTTGACTGAGGACCGGCGAGCTGGCGATCTCTGTTTGGGTTTGCAGAGGCTTTGGGAAGTTCTGCTCCAAACAGCTCGATTGACAGGATGGCTCCAGCGAGATTACCTTCGGTGGCTACAGGCGAGCCAGCTGCACGATGCTGCACATGTGTGCTGGCGGCCACTTGTTATTTCTTGTTGGAGCTTTGCTTCTTCCTACTGTGACACCCTGAGTGGAGCGTGCAACAGGCACGAACGGTAAGAGTCTAAGGGTCGATAGTTTCGCAATCCTGGTTGGGGCTGGGTTCGGCAGAGGGGCGACCGGCATGAACCGACTCGACCTTGCTGATGCTTGACTCGGGTCAGGCCCGAGCAGTTGGCCTCAGAGGTGGTTTGGGCGCCAGTGACGCACGAGTCCTACTGGCAGGCAGAGATCCCCAGTTTTCGCGAAGACTTCAGACTTTATGGCTCTATGGCGAGTCAGATTTGAGATGAAGTGAAATCGTAATCGGCAATCAGCAACCAGTATGGCTTTTGAAATATTCCGTCCACGAAGAAAGCTGGAGATGTCGCTGCGACATGCTGGGCAGACACATGTCTTTCCGAATTTGTGAGGGAGTGGATTTCCAAGTCTGCACGCTCTACTCCGAATTAAAATCTAGCTGCAACTGTATCAAGATGTGCGAAAGCTACTGAAGCAACATTGACGGAAAGATTTTGGAAGGAGAGCAGCACGCACATGCCGATGATTCCGCAGCACGAGAGTTCTGCATGTGCTGAGAGGTGGCGGTTCAGGACATCACATTCGACAACACCGACACTGGTCTTTGTGGCATTATGGGGTGCCAGGTGCGGTCGATCCGACGTTGTTGCTGCTGGTGTGTAGAGCTTGGTGTGGCAGTGTCGTTCCATAGCTTCGCGCCGCGATGCCTTTCGACTTCAGGTGGCCGTGGACACCGGCACCTCGATGTTGGCTGGTCCGCCGGCCTTGGTCAACAGCCTGCAGGAGAAGTGGCTTGTCCCGGGCCATGCTTTCCATGCCTTCGTATTCGCGTGCCTTCAATACCGACTCGCACGTTGCTGCTGTTCCGCAGGAGAGGGTCTCTGCCCGCGCTGGTGGCCAAGAGTTAGCTCTGCAAGACTCGGTTCTGCATCATCACGATGTTGCTAGTGGTGCTTTCATAGACAAGGCGGACTGTTCCAATTACGACAGTTTGCCAAACATCGGCTTCAAGGTTGGCAACAAGGCCGGCCACTGACTTTACTTCGCGGAGAGCTTGTGTCTTTTGAGCCTTGCTCGGGATGCAAGACGTCTCTGCCTGCGGCAGATCCTCAACTTGAAGCCGGAAGACTACATGGACGGGCCGGGGTCGAGCCGCAGTCTGCGCCTGTCACTGTCAGTTTTCAGTTTCGGGGTTCGGCTACCTGCACAGCGGCATGGCATGCTTCCTGGTGGTCGTGATGAAACGGACCCTCTCAAAACAACATGCCAGACAGATGCAGCTCCCCACGATTGTCGTTTCTTGTCGGCTCAAGACAAGCCGTTTCCTGCAAGCTCCAAGCAGTAGAAAGCTGAAGACAAGCCCTTTCTTGTGAGCTCCAAGAATGGCGTGCTCCAAGACGGTGAATATTTTCGGTTCGCAGACGTTCTCGCTGGCTGTTTGCAATGGCCCCAGAACCACAAGAATTGGCAAGGCAAATGAAGTGTGGTGTAGACATTTGCACCCATGGTTGCACGGAGATGCAGGAGAACTAGCAAGCTTGCAAAAATGGCACAGGCCCAAAACATGCTATTGTCACGGCAAGCTGTCCGATGACATGCATGGCTACAAGAAAAGCGATGGTTGCGCTTGAACGGATAGGCAGCAGGAATGGCAAGTTTGCACACATGCCGCAGAACCAGATCATGCTTTTGCAAACCGTCCGATCCGATCACATGCATGACTATAAGAGAACCGGCATGCCGAAGGTGGCCTGGTAGGGACATACACAGAGAGTTGGACTTAACGGATAAGCAGAAGGAATGGAAAGTCTGCAGAACTGTCGCAGATCCAAACCAGTATATTGTCATGGCAAAGCGTCCGACCACATGCGCAGCTGCAAGATCAGCCGCCATGACATTATCCCCTAATCAGGCATGGTTGGAGGCTCTCCTGTAGGGTTTTCTGAGTTTGTTCCGATTGGTTCGAATTGTAGTTGTGCAGTACCAAACGGGGACGACAACAGGTAAACATAAGGCATGTAAGGGATTCCGGTTTTGTCTACTAAGGGGTGGCCGGCGAAGTCTAACATGCCCTCCTTAGACCAGGCTCCATCCAAAGGGGGACACAAGTTTCAAAGATTGCTGTGTAACTTCTCTGGCGAGGCTTCGGGATGTGTCAATAGAAGGAAAGTCGAGCTCGTGGGGGTTTCGGCTTGTGTTGGTCCATGATTTGATTTCACGCCCGCAGGTCAGAATTTTCGACTTGTTGCCACACCCAACAGGCAGAAACACTGACTACTGACTAACTTCTTATGGCTACTTACACCGTACGAGTCACCTTGTCGGCAAAGTGCGTTCTGATGACCAGCGCCCAAATTTGTCAAAGCTCCATCAGCAGCCCACTTTCGATCTGTGGTTCAGCCTTCGGCTTGACTCTCTGTTCATGTCGCCATGGGCGCTGCGCAGGCCTGCTGCCAAGGCGGGTCGCAGAGGCTGGTCTTGCAGAGCACGTCCCTCCTTTACCTCGACAGGGATGTTGAGAACGATCGGGGATCTGCGAAAGCTAGAAGCAGAGACAGCAGCACACCTCGGATTGTCTCCGGAAAGCTGCGCGGAGTGCCTATTCTGAGAGTACCTTCTTCAGCCTACCCTTGGACCGCCAGCAGCATCGAGAGGAGCGAGGTGGATGAGTTCAAGCACATGCTGGGTAGTCATGGCATAGACACGACATGCTGGGGCAGCCAGGGCGCGAAGGCTGTCGAGCAGTTGTTCTGGGAGATATTTTACCAGCATGGTAGTATACTGACTGGAATTGGGACGGGGAAGCTAAAGCGAGTCACGCGAATCTTAAAGTTGCGCATTCTTGCCGAGATCAATGGCATTGACCATGTCATGGTGTCGCGACTGCAGTTCATGCACGATGGCCAGCAAATCCAGCGCCAGCAGCTTCCTCTGCGAAGGTTGTGCTGGAAGATGCCTTCCGACAACGCCTTGCTGCAATCCTGTGAAATCAACCTCTGTGATGAGAACAATGAGTATGCGGAATCGTGGAGAAGCTGCTGGCCATCTGTCCTGGAAGATAGACTCGGAATCTGCTCGTCAGCTTTTCAGCATCAGCTGGATGAGGTCACCAGCGCGTGCCCGGTGGCCCGAAACTCTTAGAAAGGTTTGGGGACGTGAATTGTGCATCCATGACATAAGTTATGGTTGCATCCGGAGCGTTTGTCAACTCACGACTGCCCTCTCAATCTTTGAGTCTGCCTGGGTATTCTTGCCTTGACATAACGGGTTCCGTGGTCTGGGCCCAATGTGCTCGCTGTCTGCTAGCTTGTATTGGGAGGTACAGCTATCACACCGAAGACAATGTCCACAGCGAGGGCTATCCTGGATTGAAGACGCTGTATTGTGTGCATCAGGCGTCCCAGAGCATGCCAACGATGTTTCCAAACGCCGTCGTTTGGAAAGAATTGAGTGGTCGATATGCAGGTCACATTTCGGGTGACGAACCCCGCTCACGCCAAGGCCAGGGGATCAGTTCAGCTGTGACACTGCACTGCAGTGGAACGAACCTATGTTCTAGCATACCAGTGTTCTAGATTTTGGACTTCACACGTCAATCTTGGTCTTTGGCGAGGTGGCGTGCATTGGCCTCCCGCTTGGACAGGACACCTCAGGGATCGAGTCGAGGAATGGTGCGGGGGTCCACCGTCGTCATAATGCTTTGTGGGAGGACTTTGCCACGGCTAACGACAACTTCTGCCTGGAGAGGCCCCTCGACTTGGGATACCATTGGGACACTCACCATCCAAGACACTTCCTGTACTTGTAGTCGATCTGCCAGTGCCGTGCTTTCTCCGACCGATCGAAGTCTGTTAAGTTTCGACGCAGGTTCCACAGCAAGGACGCTTTGCCCATAGGCCGCTCAAATTGCAAGCCATGACTTGTTACTGAATTGCTCTGAGGGTCTCGAGTAGACAGTTGCAGGTGCCAGTGTTATGATCAAAGATCGTGTTCAAGATCGTGATGGGTATTGCATCGAGTGCATTTCTCACCCGGCTTTCGAGGCTCCCAGCTCAACGTTTGGTCCTGGGCACCTCTTAGCGAGTTTAACAAGGCCACGTGCTGCAAGGTGCTACAGATGTGTAGCTTCCGATGCTATGCTCCGTTCTTCCCGCATCAGGTGTACGTGAAGCCGAGGCCTTCTGCATGTGCAGCTTGGGTCCTGTAGCCTGGATGGGGCCGGTCTGCAGATCCGCACCTGAAACGCAACCTCCCTCCATACCTGTAAGTCTCAATGCTGACTCCAACTAATCTCGTCTGAAGCGGGGGCTTGTATCCTGAGCTGCATGCTTGCGCAGCTTCTCGGAAACTACGAAGACAGAGAAGAGTCCTGGCCGTGGCCCTGGTATGTCTGCTTCTTGTAACTTGTAAACACAGGGACATTCTGGATCTCGTCAAGTTTCGTCACAAGTGGGCGGCAGTGGGCCAAAAATGCAAGGAAGCGCAGGATCCTACCGGTGTGAGTGCCTGTGCCTGGTGCGTGTCTCTGGGCCTTGAGATCTTCTTCCTGCAGATGTCGTGCTCTAGCAGTCCAGCATCATTGCCAAAGCTTGGGAATACTGCTTATCGGCACAAGAAAACCTGCGTTGATTGCCTCGAGTCCCCTCTCCCATGCCACTAAAAACCGCATTGCTCATGGGATGCATCTGTTTCGCATCGTACTGTCCCATGTCAAGTTTTCTGGTCCAATCTGACCGTGCCTTATACAGGTCGAGAAGAACCAGTTCCCAAGTGCGTTGCGGGCTGCCCAGTTCGTGCGGGTCGATGAAATCGATGGGGAGAAACCTCACGAACCGTGCAGAAACCCCTTGCTGACTAATGTTGGTGTTGGAAGTTGGAATCGTTACTTCAGTACGTCACAAAGACATATCCAAAGACAAGCCGGAGGCTCTTGTATGAGTTCTGCTGAGGAAGATGAGCTGATGATGCGAAAGCGTGTTCCCATTTCGGCCTCCATGTCCAAACTCGCTTCAATGGACAATGTCGCTCACGTCGTGGCCCCAGTCGCTGAACCGAAGTGGCTACGCACCATCCACAGCTGGGTAACCATCCGCGAGTCGCGAAGTGTCACCAGCCATTGTCATTCGAAATTAAGGCAGCTTCGGGCAAGGCCCCCAAGCACGGGCTCCCAGGGGAGTGGAGCCGGGTGACGAGGTCTTGGGCTCTAATCTGGAATGGAAGTTCAGGGATCAATGTCGATCAGGGAGTTCGTAGAACCCATCAAGTGTTTCATGTAGTATGTACCCCATGGTGGCCGTCTCTGCAGCTATTAGGAAGACCGCTCCGAATGCAAAGCTGCGGCGCGTTCTGTCGAGCAAGCGCCTGGACCTCAGTTGTCCGGTTCCTCGTGATGTGACTTGCGGGGCAAGGCCTGAGCAGGCATGGCCTTGAAGGCAGCGTAGCCGATGTCCTCCGCAGCCCGACATGGATGGTGCGGTGTCTTCGTTACTAAGGAACCGATTGGCGCACAGTCAGGAGACTCAACTTCTGCGCAAGAAGCGGCTTTTTGATTGCGACTCAGACATGCGGCAGGAAGATTGCAAGCAATTTGCTGGACAAGAACTACACACTGTCCCAGTTCATGCAGGACGCCGCAACGACAAAATGATATGACTCATGCTGGTGCCTTCATGACGGAGGCTGTCGAACTGTCTATGCTCCAATGTCACAGGTCTCTCATGCCCGGCTTGAGCAGTTGTTGGCCCTAAGTGAAAAGTGATGCCTCGGCCCGGGCCCGGGCCCCTTCTTCGAGGCACGAAAAGGTCCCAGGCCTATGCAACCTCCAGCGACAGAGCTTTCCCCATGCTTGGGGAATCCAGGGAGGGGGGAGATTTGCTCGATGGCATTTCGGGACTCGGGTTTTGAGAGACTGCCGAAGTTGGCACACAAGGGAGTGCCACGGTTCGGGCCCCCAGAGAAGCTCCGTAAACTGTAGTCCCGTGTTCTCCACTGCCCTAAGAGGCTCATGAGTCACTTTGCCAGAGCTTCGAGGACCTTGCTGCATTTCCTGAGCTTTCACTCTACTTGCGGGATGGGGCAGGAGCCTAAGGCCCAGGTCAAAGGACGAGGCCAACGGAGCAAGAAGGCATTGCAGCTTGATTCACTGAGGTGGTGGAAACGGGATCAGGGCGAACGGCCGACGATGAGTGCCCTGATTGCTTGCTGGTCCAATTGATGATTTCCTTTGACATCACTGGCAATCCTGCTCGGTTGTCGTCTTGGCCGACGGGCCGAAGAAGTGAGTACAACCTCGAACTGGATTTTCTCCCGTCCCGGACTAGCTGAGCAGCCGTCAGGTACCAGCGCACGATATGTGCCTTTTTCGCCATCTACTGGCTGATGCGTGTGGGACTTGGCCTGCGCCATGTCATACTCTTGACGCATCTTGACTCGTCCGCAGTCGCCTTGTTGAATGACACACATTGGCACACTTGGGTGCATGGGACCAAGAATACTATACGTCAAGACCGCAGCATGAGCTATACAAGGAAATATAGAACATTGCTGCGGCAGATGGACACTTAGAGGGTCGACGGTTTTAGCTGCACTGCTTGTAGAAGCGGCAAAACCGCAAGTTCGGATTCAGGACTGATGAGGTCTATCAGGTAAGAGAAAGCAGGACAAGCGAGTCTTTCAACGAGCTCGTTTACAGGCCTGGATATCGACGGTCGGCAGGGCTTCTGCTTTGGAACGGATGAAACTTGGACGGCCCTGAAGGCACGGGGGGCAGCATACAATATGGTGGGTGTTCGCATATCTTTGCTGGTGTTGCACCCAATGCAACGCACGCATCAAAGAGACCAACTGTGCAACTGTTGCTGCGCAGGAGTCCGCCGTGAAGGACGGGCAGGCCCTGGTAGTGCAGTCTCTAAGATTTCGCTCGCAGCTTTTCGGCGCTGCTGTCGTGGGGATGCTCATGTCGATTCACACTGGCGGGGGTGCGGTGAAAAGTTCGCTTCGTCGGGCCTTCCAGTTTGGGGCTTTGCTTGGCCTTCCTCTTTCTGCTGTTCAGATCCGTGGGCGATTAGGGGGCATTGCGTGGTATTTCGATGGCGGTTGGGTTTTCCACAGAGCGAGCGATTTCGCTTTGAGCCAACCCTTGCTCCGTCTTCAATATTTTTTTGTCGAGGCCCTGCTGCTTGCTCGCGTTCATATTCGGTTTTGTTTTGGCAACTTGCGTGTTGCAAGCGGGTGCCTGTCCTTGTGCCGCGACTGCGAAGCAACGCCTTGGCCGGGCGCGCTGTGCAAAGAGGTTTTGCTGGTGCGACCGGCTGAGCAAGTGAGCTCACATTTTCTGCGTGCCGAAGGTGGCCATGGAGAGTGCATTGCCCAACGGGCTGCAAAAGCGCTCGGATCTCGGCAGTCGGCAGCTGGAGTGGCGTTCAACATCCAAACTGCCAAGGCGTTTACCAGCTTGAGCGGCGCCTGGCCTTCTTCAACAACGCCCAGCTGGAACCTCAACCCTTCCGAAACACAGAGGTCTTACATACATGCATGCTGAAATACATGCATACATACTCACATATATACATAGATACCATACCATACATTCATGCAAACACATATACTCGCATACATTCGCATACATATTCATGTACATATACAACTACACACATGCACATACACATCTACCCCCGCATTTGGGTAGACACATGTACGTGTGTGTATGTATGCATGCATTGCATGTATGTGTGTGGGCATGTATGTGTGTGTATGTATGTATGTATGTATGTATGTATGTATGTATGTACGTTTGTATTTACGTATGTTCTTTGTGCGTAGGTATTATCCAGGAGGTAGGGTAGGTAGGTAGTTACGTAGATGGGTAGATAGGTAGGTAGGTGGGTAGGCATGTATGTATGTGTGTCATCTATGGTACCAAGTACAAGTATAACCATGTATGTATTCATGTGTTGCTTTAAGTTTTCAGCATCAAATCAGGGCTTCATCAAAAGGTTAATAGAGAACAACAAGTGAACAAAGCTCGAAGAAGAAAGAACAGCAAGAATACATTGAGAAGAATGAACATAAGTATGAAGAGGAACCTGAGGAAGATAAGGAATATATCATAATCATGATGAAGATGAAAGGGGAAATAGAAAGGAACAGTCAAGGAACAATAATAACAAGATGAGGAATAATAATGACATGAGGAACAATGTTGCTGTGTGTTGTTTGAGGGTAGGCGGTTAGATGTGCCACCTATACATGTTATGCAGTACTCACTGCATCTTAGACTTCGTGCGTTCTGGGTTAACTCTCTCTAACATCCCTTTGTGAAGGGTTGGCGTTGGGAGCTTCCGAGCTGACGGACTTGCATTTCTCTGAACCCCTCAAACGTCCTTACAAAAACTCGCCAAAGACCGCTGTAAGGCCTTTTCAGCCGACAGAGAATCAAGGCATGCTTCGAAGCCTGATCAATCCACAAAAAGATCCTTGATGCCACCAACCCTCCAGGCCCTCAAACTCTGGAATCGCGGCAAGAGGCAAGAGAAAATCAACATAGATGGATTCCGCACACGATTTCCTAAGGCTGAATTTTTCCCAGATTCAAAGAGTGAACGAAATCGATGCTGTTAGGGAGGAGGGGGCCGTGGGAGAGTAGCTCCGCGCCTTCGGACATAGCACATTACTTCCGTGCAAGACAATTGGCAATTGGCCAGGTGGAGTTTCTTTCGTCGGCTTATGGTTGATGCACGGACCTTAGCAGTCAAATCCTGGGTGGCCGCCGACATGAAGCATTGGCGCATGCAGGGTGCCGAAGGTGTATATACTGTAGGATGCTGTAGGACTTGCTCGACAGGCTTCGGCTTCGAACATCTGAGATCCACCACTATGTGGTTTACAGAACGTTGTGTGGCAGAGCTTGACCACAAGAACAGCCGGCGGAATCCCGTAAATGAGTGGAGCTCGGTAAATGACTCTGATTCTCTTGTGATGTGTTAGCCATGAGGCGGGTCTCTTGGAAGCCTCGTTCCAGAACGGCAGGTCGGGCTGTTAGGAACCTGCAGAAGCCTCCCAGGCCCCAAGTTTATCGTCAGCAGCCATCCCGTGTCAACCGCGACATTTCGCAGGAACACCTTTCGTGTCAAGGAGACGAGGATGGTTTCGCTGTTAGTCCGTACCTGAGCGCTCAAGGATTGCTCACTCGCACTGCCTGATGCAGGATGTTATGGTTTCTTTTGCTGGGGTGTTTTCTCCTCTGATCCTTCCATGCCCTGGAAAGGCAAAGGTGAGGTTTGTGCGCCCGTGAGGCTCTTACAGCCATCCATGACATCATGAAAATCGAGAACTTGCTGCCGACGGCCAGCGTGACATGGGGTCTGGACTGAGCCGAGTATGATGTGCCGAGCATCCATCTTGCACTGGAGCGTCCTTGCTGACAGCCATGCCTGTGATTTGTTGCGATGACTTGAATTGACAGCGGGATTTTGTCAGAAACACCGGATGTCTGAGTGCAAATTACGAAGTGCAGGTGCAACCCGAGCATGATGGATACCACGGCTCCAGAGCTGCAGTGAGAGCACTAGGGTACGCATGCCCTGAAGTGCCTCAAAGTTGGGACATCTGTTCTAAGATCTCAGAGGTTATGCTGCCGGGGATGTCATCGGCGACCACGACCATGCGCTGTGCTACGTGATGGACTGCGATTGCTAGAGCAGAGACAGATTCGGGTAAGTTCAGCCGTGTCGCTGCAGGGTTATATTACACCCATGACATAATATGTAAGTTACTGCCTTATAAGTTATAAGTCACGACTTTTTTGTAAGAGTTGAGTAGAATGTATAACATGCAGTATGTGTATGTATATATATACATATTATATCTGCACAGACATATTTACAGATATCGCACGATACACCTTATATGACATAGAAACTGCAGTACACACAGCATGTGCACGACCGTCTCCATAATATGTAACAATATGCAAGTATTTGACAAAAAATATGCGAAATGATGCAACAATGTAGGAATACACTATTAAAGAATATACGTATCTGAGATTATAAGAATCCAAGAACATCAGAGCAAAAGAGTGTGATAATGTAAGGAATAGCAATGCATCAATATACTAAGGCCGTGATAATCGGACTATTAACAATAAGAATAGCAGTGGTTATACTAGCAAGTTTTTGTATATATATATATATATATATGTCTACAAATTACACTGTACCACTGTATACTATATTACACATATATAACAGAAGAAGAGCGTACGAATGTCAGAATACAGCAGTATAAGACAGTGTAATGCAAAGCAGGAATGTTTGAATACTGTACGAGCGACATGTTCACTGCCGACGGCGGGAAGTTTTCGGGTCAAGCGTGTAGAGACTTCGCTTTGTCTTCGGTGTCGGGAGTCTCGTCGCTTCCGTCGTCTCTTTGCTCACTCATCTGCTTTCGACTTCGACTCCTCAACTCCTCGATTCCTGCCCTCCCTGTCCGGACCTTCCTGACCTCGATTGGGCCTGGTTCTTCTTGGGCTTGGGGTGCGGGGTGTTGCTGCTTCTTGAGGCAGTTCTTACCCCTTGCTTGCCTCCGGTCCCCTTGAGCTGCGCCTTCCGGCTCGTGCTTCTGTGGGCCTTGAACAACGCTCCAATGAGCGGTGGGCCTATGCGATTGAGCAGCTTACACCCCCCGAGCGACCGTCAGGTTCTGTCTAGTCGGCTTCTTCGAGCTGCCTCCACCTCCTATCCCAGGTCCGAGCGGAACAACGCCTGTCGTGGGATTGGGCTTTGGATCACTTGGGTGACCATCGCGGAGCTTCTGGCCGAGACTCCTTAATCAGCAGGCCTCCCGTTATTGGGTCGTCTTCCGGGGCTTTGACGGGCGAGACTTGATATTCCGCCTGAAGCCCATTCTGCTTTTGCTCCTGTGAAATGCATCTGCAAGCGAGGAGCTGAGTGTAGCCAGTCAGTGTGCATTGGTCTCCCCCAGCAGAGCGGACGTGGAAGCGTTTGCTCGGCAGCTGGGTTCGCCGAGGTGAGATTCTTTTCAAATAGCTGAGGAAGGGGGTGATTTGGCCGGCTTGCCTCTTGAGCCGCGAGACTTTGCTGTTGCCCAGCCCGAGGGCCTGATTCTGGATACTTGGTTGATATTGGCACGACTGGAAGCTGGTGGTTGCCGTGCCCCTTGCTGCCTGGGCTCGAAAGCTCGCCGCTCGTCGGCTACCGCGTGGAGCCCTCACCAAGGTCTCCTCTGTCGAAGTGGCTGCTGTGTCTAGCGAAGAGCGGGATGTTCTGTTGGAGGGCTTTTCGCTCAATGTGTGGGATGGATTCCTGACCTCCACTGTGGCCGCCGGCCTCGCAATCGAAAGTGGCGATGCGGCCGATCTCGCGCTTGCCAGAACCATGGTGTCAGCATGGCAGCCGCTCCGGAATTGCCTGGTTGCAACCTTGTCGCCTCGGCCGAGTCGGGTCCCCCAAGATGCTCCGGTTCTAGCCTGAGTTCTCGGGTCGATCGGCTGGAGGCTGCCATGTCCACGGTTGCAGTGGGTGTGAAAGCTCTTTGGGCAAAGCTAGTTGTTTCCGAAAGCTCGGCTCCGAGCTTCCTGTGCTAGCCGCCAGGCCCAAGAAGGCTGTCTCCGTCTCCCCTCTCTTCCCTCCCTGCTCTGCTCTCCCGTGTTCACCTGGCACCTTGGCTGCGTTATTACTTGCCAAGGCGGCCGTGACGTTTTCGGAGCTGCCCTGAGATGCGGGGGGCGGGCGGCAACAGGTTTTCCTGGTTGCCACCACCACCACCACCATGCAATTATGAGGTTCGCCTGGCCAATGATACTTCGGCCACCCGTCTACGTCACCTTTCAGACGGCGCGAAGCCAAAAATTCCCAGCACGTCTCAGTTTGGAGGGCAGCAGTGAATATGAGGAACATGTTCACTGCCGACGACGGGAGGTTTTCGGCCCGCCTTGCCACCCGTGGATGCAAGCAATACTATATTATAATATTGTCATAATATAACAATATGACCATGTAGCAATGACGTATGATAGCAACATAACCATGTAGAGTGCACATGCATAATCACATGATAAGGTCGCAATACAGTAAGACAACATATTCATAGCAATGCTATAGTTGTATAACAATATAATAAACGAACATCAATCTACAATATTCTAGAACAGTCCTGCGAAACAATCTTCAATATTGTACAATAATGGAAGAATAAGAGTGTCTAAGAACATAACGGATGTCCGAACGGCCGACTCCGTCCAACCTGACCGACATACGCATTGATGTAATTTAACTTATGCAAAAGCAAGGTAGGGTAATGGAATAAAAACACAAGCACCTTTGTAGACACTCGTTCTCGGCAAAGTAGAGCTCTCATTCCATGGGAATTTGTGAAAGCATGCATGGAAGGACCACTATCCAGATTTGCTGCCGTCGTTCAAAGATTTGGACCCGGCAGAGCGTCAATCAGTGCAGTTCACACAGTCGCTGACCCAGGTGGCAGACCAATTAAAATTTGAGTAGGGGGTGCGAACTGTAAACAAGCCTGCCTGTTCGAACTCCGATCACAGTTGCAGAGAGTTGTTTGTGTTCTCGGAGTTGTTGCCGACCAATGACAAAGGCATCTCTTCGTGAGCTTGTCTTTCGCTACCCATTGCTAGATGATATAGATGATAAGCACTTCTGCCATCACTGCAAACTTCCAAACTCTGATTCAGATGCCTTTATTTCAACAGTGATGTCCGATTCCTACGCTGAACTGCGAGGTGCAACCTTTGCTTTAATCACGGCTGGCTCGTGCAGGCGGAGGCCCCCCATGGTTCTGCAATGTGCAAGTGAGGCCATCGTTTCCAGACTGCATGCGCCACAGGCTCCAGCCGGTGCGATATTCTCCAAGTTTCGCGAGGCCGGAGGGAACCGCAGTTGCTTAGCTCAGGCTACGACTTCGAAGCTGGGCCACTGTAAACTCGTGCGCAGGCGGTGGCACGAGACCGCAGGCCTGGTGTCAAAGCGATTGGCACAGCCAGGGAGAGAGCAAAGTGCTGGTGTTCCGGCCTTGCGATCCCGACAGGGTGCATGGTGGGGCAAGAGACATCGCCCTCTACTTCGTGCATTGGTTGACTGACTTGGCAGGGACCTCGGTTTTGGCTGCAATGGCTCCCTATGTGCAAACGGGCTACCGGCGAGAAGCTCCCGGGTCATGCGGGTTTCGCTTCGGACGGAAGGCTGGTGCGGAACCGACGCCCCTGGGCGGCTGTGAGAAGTTTGTCATCAAGTTCCCACTCCATGACCGGCCCTCGGCCTGGGGTTGCGACGGACATCCGGCGGGGGCGACGACTGTTTTTTTGCCTATTGATGTGATGTGATGTGGTCGGCGCCGAGGTGCTAAACAGCTTCCTCCAGTCTTTCAAGTTCATAGAGGGCATCAGCGTGCGAACGGAGACTCAGGTGCAGCATAGTGGGGGTTGCAGAAATTGTGGCAGCTCACTCTGTTGCATCAACACCAGGTCATGGAGAAATACCTAAAGTACCGCTGGTCGGACCACGTGCCGACGCTTGGAGAACCGCCCAAAGGCTGGGGACCCGTGCCGTTTCAGTAACGGGTGATCATGCTTCTGACTGGCCTCGTTCCACAGCATTCAGTGAGCCTTGTTTGTGCTCATTGGCTTCTGTGTGAAGGCCCCCATGCAATTGCAGCCATGAGGCTCCTGTGCATGGCCCAGGCCTGGAAGCGCGTGAGCAGATCTGAGCAGTTGCAGTCATGTCGCGTCTGAGCCCGGAGGCCAACGGGCGAACGATTGTGGATGCGTTCAATCAAGAGCTTTCTTCGGAGGACAGCCCGGAGCTTCAGCCCTGAGCTGACCAGCTCCGAGCCTGTGTCTGTGAGGACAAGGAGGTTCTGAGTGTCGAGATGTCCCGGACCGGCTGCGCAGGCCCTTCAGAGTTCGTAGCCGGCCAAGCAGAAGTGTTTCCTTCAAGAGCTGGAGGCCAGTTCTTCAGCCCTGAGCTGACACCCTCGGAGGTCATCTCGAAGGCAGTCGGCACCCTGGCACCACGGCCCTCCCTTATTACTGGAGGATCCTGCAAGTGCGGTTCTAGGCCGGACCAGCCTTCCTGGTGTACTACGGCCCAGCCTTTCTGCAAGCTTTAGGCGCGTCTGCCTTCACCATGTTCACGGCTGCCGAAGCTCATGTCCTTTGATGTCATGCCATCATGCCGTCCTGCCATCTGCACAAAGGCTCCGACTCTGCGGTCCTCCGCGTGAGCCTCAGTAGCTTAAGACTTAAAATCCGGGCCACGAGTCTCAGAGCTTCAAGAACCTTGTGGTTTCAGACCAATTTAGAACTTTTAGAACTACACTCTGCAGCAGATTTGTGTTTACACTGTGGTACCAAGCAACACCTTCCGCTGTGGTCGTTTTCTTGCGGTTTGCCATGTCCTTCGCACAGAAGGCCTCCGAGTTCTGAGCGAGATCTACCGCTGCGCTCGCGAGATCTGGCCCGAGGTCCCGCAGTGAGGTGATGTGCCCTTCGGGAGAATGGACAGCGGAAGCCCAGAGTGCCGTAGATTCGTAGGCGGTGTGGAGTCGAAACGGTGCGAGCAAGCGATTCGAATTAGCATCCCAGAGCTTGAATCACAGCTGGGACAAGACAGCTAGTGGCAGCTGATGGTTTGGGGCAAAACGGCAGGGGACGCAGCCTGTGGGCGTGCCAGGTTTTGAGATTCTAAGTGACAACTTGTTATAGCTGCAAGCATTATGGGTTGGTGGAGCACGCCATGGTGTCCACGGGTGCATGGGTCAGACTGGAAAGCCGGGAAAACAGGTAGAGAAAAAAGCAGATAGATGTGGCAGAATCCCAATGCACGAATGCCCGGCTGTCCAGACATGAAAAGCTCGTTGTGCCAGTCGGAAGCCTCGGTGGCAGTGTCCGTGCATGTCCGCATTGACACCATCAAGGCCTGCTTGTGAAGCCTCCGGCACGTCACATCCTGTCCTGACACGATGGCATGCCAAAGCGAAGGAGAAGTCACTAGAGTCACCAGAGCCCTCCGGGTGCTGTGGGGAACTTCGCCCATGCTCGCACACGACCTTGTATCTGTCAGGGCTTGGCCATACGGGACATCCAAGATGTTCTGACAAGAGGCAGGACTCATCGTTTCGTTTCACCGTTCCGTTTTGGCAAATGACTCTGAGATTTACCGGAACTGCAGGTGACCTCTGGCTAGTTACCAAGCACAACGAAAGTGAGGCTCGATGCCAAGAGCAATCTGAGTCAGAAGCCTTCCATGCTGCTTCCGTGCCAGGCCTTCGTGGAGCGAGCCTCCCATGGAAAGCTGAACAGGCAGGGGTTGAGGTTGGAGAGGTTGGGATCAAAGCCTCTAATGAGGCAAGGCTACATTCTAGATTCCGCCTGATCACTATCCACTTTGTAGAACAGAACGCCCTTTGTCCTTCTGTCCAAGGCTTGTGCGGAGTTGCCAGAAGTTTCAGGTTCTAGACTTGGGTGCTGGCCTCAGACGCCCTCCGTGAAATTCTGTGCAATGCTGATCGTTCGCACGAATAATGAAACCCCGCAAAAGCGAAGCGAGGTTTTCTGCGCGAAAGTCGCAATATCTGAAGAAGGCAGTACTACAGCAAACTACAGTTGCTTTTGATTTTGTTTTGGGAAAGTGCGGTCGCTGGACTGCACAGGTTGAAGCAGCCATGCAAACATGCCTGCAGCACCCAAATATGTACAAGCTGCATCTTTACAGCTTGCTTTCTTCCGAGTTTTTGAATTATTCTTCCCCGATGTATCCAACCACTTCTCGAGAGGAGTGGCGTCTCTTCAGAGAGATGAACAGCCAGAGCTCGACTCGTCAGTGCTCTTCCATGAGTGGCTGACGGAGTTGCGCGTCGTGGTCAAGCCTTTCTTAGGAGACAGTGCTTCCACCCAGCGAATCCAACGAGCTCTGGACTGCTTGTTCATACTGATGTACCTGCGGCAGGCTTTGGTTTGGCCTAGGCCTAGATCACGACAAGGGCATTCGTGTGATGCTGGTGATATTTGGTTGTCTTGGAGAGACCTATAGTACCATAGGTTTTTCGATGGGTAGTTACGATCAGGGTCTGCTCTGCGCGCTCTTCAAGTCGGTGGCTCGGGTCCAATGGATCCGTCCCCTCAGGAACCCAACCTTTCCTATTCGATTTTCTGAAGGTGCTGGGCATGGGCTCCAGGCTTTGCTTTCCCAGGAGGGACTGAGCCAGAGCATTCTGTAAACCAGCGCACACCCGGAGCGAAGTGCAATGAACTTCACGCCATAGAATGGTGTCTATGGCGGTTGCAGATGAAACTCAATAGGCCAGACGAATTTCCAAGAGGAGCCTCAGTTTGGAAGGTTGGCGAAAGGCTCGGTGTGCGTTGGGTGTTCGGTAAAAGTGCCCGGACTTTGCCTACGTGTCAGCTCACGCTGCATGGGTCTACATCAAAGCAATCAATGCGGAGTTCGTCCATAATTGACCTCCAGGCCGATGCAATCTGTGCTGAAGGCTTGCACGTCTCACCCGGATTTCGAGGTGTCCTCACGCATCCCATCTGGCTAGGGACGTCAGGGACCTCCTTGCGTGCTCCTCTCTCAACGCCATGCGATGATTTGCGCGCTTGGCCTGGAGGGGTCTGTTGCCGAAAAAGGAACATCAGATTCATGCTGGTGCCGGCATGACATGATTGTGTCTCCGCTTGCGTTGCCCGAGAGGACAAGGACGAGACGGGTTGCAGCTTCTCGCTGATGCCTCTCGACGTACCTCCGCCTCGAGCAAGCTTCTGAGAGTGTCAGAGAGGGGGCTGGATGGCCGATCTGAGCTGCGGAGTGTGGCTAGTGCAGGCCGTTCACCTTCCTGATTCCTTTGCACGGACTGAGCTGCAGCAGTCTAGGGAAGAGCCTTCTCGTAGTTCAAGCAGCCCTGCAGTCACGTCGCAGCGATCAGGATTAAGTTGCATGCTGGAGGACGCAGGCTGCGTCCGGTCATCGAAAACATCGCTCGAATGTTTCGGTCTACGACGACGAGTACAGAAAACCCTACTGTCGCTGCTGTTCTGCCAGTCCTGCCGCTGCTGCTAAAGCATTGAACTCTCACAGAATGCAGTTATGTCTTGTATACTTGTATATGCTCGAGTGAGACCCCCCCGCCTCTCTGACATGCATGTGCAAACCAGCTCGACTCGGGGGAGGAGAGAAGGGGCCGCAGTAAGGATGGACTACGAAATGCAAGTAGTAGCTCATTGACGAAACCCTTGACTTGACGCGCAGACATGTAAGGGACCTCTGTTCATCTTTGGCGACCCGTTTCTGCGACGATTTGCTCCAAGCTAAGCTGTTGCAGATTGGAGCAGTTGTGCGGTACAAGCAACATGCAGCGGCATGTCCGCGAGTAGCCGAATAGCTGACATCCAGTGTTTCATTCCGAGACCAGGTGACCATCTATGACAAATCCGGACCATCAGTCGGGTTTGCGGTTTCCAAGCATGAAGCCATGGACGAGATCCAGGCACATGCAGAGCGTTTCGGGTACCGGCGAGCAGGATCTGGCATTGCTTGCTCGTTGTGTGTTTTGGGCCAGCTTTGAGTCTCGCACGTCCGGGTCATCCAATCTAGGTCTGGGTTATGTACGCGTCGTGGCTGACGGCTTTTTCCAAAGGTTCGTTGTTGAACTGAAAGCCACATGTTAAAAGTTTTGCTGCCCTGATGTTTGGCTTCACAAAGCGAGACCTGAAACCCTCCAGTTGTCCAGCTGGAAGTTCTGCCACCTGAAAGTCCGAGACGCCTCTGGCCCTGGCAACAGGCTTCAAAACTCATCGTCACCGCCGCCGGATCTGAACCGTTGGAGGCAGAATTTGGCTTCAGAAACTTGACCTGGTTTAGGTGAAAGTTCTGTATCCATCTGTATCCTTCCTGCAGGACCGGCATCATCATGGAAGACAGGAGCGTGGACAGTTTACAACTTCTTCTTCATCTGCTTATTGCTGCTGCTGCTGCTGCT